GCTCTATCTCCTTATGTACCCTACATAAATATCAAAAAGATTGTTCCCTGAATTTTGCAATTTTATACATTTAGTTTATTGTACATTCGTTATATATTATGTGCTAGAAACTGTGAGGCTGCAATAAGAGCATAGGACTAGGATCTAAATCTGTCTCCCACTTCTCCACAGACCTCTATCCATGTTGCTAGGTGTGATCAAATTACAATCCCTAGTAACTTAGCTTTTTGTTACTATGATGATAGGCCTGAGGTAGTTCCATTTAAAAAGGGAAAGTAGGGCTGGGGATATAGCTCAGTGGAATAAGTGCTTGTGTGGCAAATGCAAGGTCCTGAGTTCAATCCCTGGTACCACCAAAAAAAAAAAAAGTAAAGTAAAACATAAAAAGGAAAGGTATATTTTTTTTCCTTATGGTTTTAGAGGCTTTGATCCATGGTAAGTTGCCCCCGTGTCTTGAGGTGTTAAAGTGAGACAGCACATCATGGCGGGAGGATGTAGCAGAGGAAGCAACTTACCTTACAGTGGCCAAGAAATGGCAGAAAAAAAGGAAGGGACCTGGCCCCAGTGACCCCTCACAGGCATCCCTGCGATAAATTCTTCCTCTGGCTCTTAAGTTCTACCCTCTCTCAGTACTTCCACAGAGTGGGGAACAGACTTTCAACACATGACCTTAGGAGAGCACTCAAGATCCAAAACATAAAGTAGCTATTTCATCTTTTCTCTCTTTTGAAACATATTATAAAATTTGTCTTATTTCTCGCCCCCATGATTGAAATAGACTTTTCGCTGCCTCTGTGGTTCTGATCTGTGCTGTTCACTTGCTTGCTCCCCTGCCTGCCTGAGGCTCTGAAGGGCTCCTATAGGAGGTGGTAGCTGTGACTCTGGTCTGTGTGGGGAGCAGCACCCTAAATATCTAGTGCAACTTCCAAGAAGACTTAAAAGGTAGACCCTTTTGTGAGGCAGTATACTGGCAACTTGTCATGTGAGTTTCCTCCTTCCAGGGAGAATTCTGTCCAGACACTTGAACTTTAGTGTTGTTGGGGCTTATGATTAGGCTTCTTATGAAGTGATTCCAGTATGAAGCCAAGATTGGGAACTGCTGTCTTAGACTTGTGATTCTCCAAAGCTGGATCCTGGACCCGTGCCATCAATAGTAAGTAGGCATTTGTAGGAAATGCATAGACCTAGAAAGTCAGAAACTCTGACTGTTGGATCTACCACTGTGCTCTACTAAACTTTTGGTGATTTTAGTGGACATTGATAGAGAAACACTATACTGCCTAAACCTCAATTTTCTTTCTTTATCTCAAAACTACAACTAAGTTTAGAAAGAGTGTTTGTTACCTGAAAGTCTCTGCACTGGTATGATATGAAAGAATTGGTTAGGGGCATAAGGAAAGCGATGTATCAAGTGTGTCCTTGCCAGTGGTCACCTAAGTACACGAGAAACGTCAAACTCTTGTCCTCAGATTTCTGAAGAGTAAAAAGATTCTGATTAATTTACAAATTAGTCAGAAATACTCATACATTGTTTCCTAGAGAAAGAACTCGAAGAGGTAGTTAAATCTCATCCCAAAAAATCGATGGGAAGTAGCACTAAACATTTTGGAGGGATGTAAAATGATTTTTAAATCAATATTTAGAAGAGTCATGTAGAGAACGCCCACTTTCTGTCTGAAATCAGAGACAGGTCTTTGAAGTAGCATCCCACTCTCAGCATATGACTTTACATATCATTTAATCATCATGTTTATTTTTCACTGGTTATTTTGGAAATGTGTTCAAAGTAAAAGGAAAATTGTGGGAAATGAAGATGCCTAACTTGATGTTGTTGTTCCATCTTATAGACTCTAGGATAAGATTGCCAGAGGAATTTGTGTGCTTTGAAAAGCTTTTTTGATTTTTTTAGTGATATTTAAAGGTTAAAGGAATGGAATTAGGATCATAAAATTCATTTTTACTCTTAACATCATTTCTTTGAACAAATAAGAATCTCTTTTAGATTGAATCCTCATTATTTGCTAAACTATGGTCTGGAAAATGTAGAGGGCATGCACAAACATTAAATGGCATAATGCTCCAACTCCAGGTAAGCCCTTCACTTAGAAAAATTAGCATTTGCCATTTAGGAATGCTTGAAACTTTTCATGTACCCTTAAATTTAGATGCTGTGCAAATTTGATAGAAAATGCATAGTAGAGAAATATTTAGCAAAGAAAGTAGATTATGTAGTATGTAGTCATGCAGCTGGAAACTCTGGAAAACAATTTGCATCTTTGCTTTTCAAGATTCTAATGAACTCAGTCATAAAGCAGACGTTGAAGGAAAGCGTTAAATAGCTTTTGAGAAAACTGAGACTGTGGCAAGGTTAATTGGATTTAGTGAGGCCTTGAGGTCTGGCATGGACAAGGCTTGGGATTAGGTTCCAGTTGTAATTTTATTTCTTGCCAGCTTTGTTATCTTCAGCAAGGCTAATACTTTGGGCCAGTTTTATTTTCTGTGTTTTTAATATGTGAAAAAGAGTACCACTGTGAAATGTTGTAGGGAAAGCAGATAGCCGATTAATTATAATAATTTTATTTGTTCTTTTTTTTTTTTTTTTTTTTTTGTTCTTATTGACAAGGACCCATCAAAGTGAATTTGAATTTGATAGGTAGAGGATAATTTATAGTTTTCTTGTTTTGTTTGTTTTGCTCTACTGGGGGACTGAACCTGCGTGCCTTTCTTTCTTCCATCCCAACTTTTCTTCTTCCCTCCTCCTCTTTCCTCTCCCCTGCTCTCCCCTCCTCTCTCCTATCTTCTCCCACTCTCCCCCCCATCTCATTATCTCTGTATCTCTCTCTCTTTTTTTTCTTTTTTTCTGAGGCAGGATTTAGCCAGATTGCCCAGGAATTATTCAAACACTTGATTTTTTTATCTAAGTCTTTTGCCTCGGATTAAGAGTGCATACTGCCACACCCAGCTAGGCCAAGTGGCTCAGTGGATTAAAGCGCCTGCTTAGCAGCCAGGACATGGGATCCCTAGGCCTGTGGGCCGGCCCCACCCCAGGGCTCGCTGAGACTGGGTGTGGTGTCCTTCCTGTAATCCCAGCTCTTGGGAGGCTGTAAACAGGCGGATCACTATGGGTCTCATCTAGTAGTGAGACTCTGAACACCCTGTAGACCCTTCCCTAAAAAAAAAAAAAAAAATCACAGGATATATTGTGAAATAGAAACTATTTAAGAGGCAAGAGAAACTGGGAAAAAGCAAAGGAGAAGGAAGGAAAGAGCAAGAAAACAAAAAAGATAGGATAGTTAAGATAGTTATTCTAGTTCAATCTCTGGTTCCGCAAAAAAAAAAATAAATAAATAGTTATGCTACTAATTTCTTTTAACTCACTGAAAGAAAAGTTTATGCCAATATTGTTGGGACAGTTAAATGCCTGTATCTTGTGCTCTAAGTAACTAAAGATAACAATACACAGTGTGTTAGTCATTGTTACTCTCCTGTTATCTTGTTTTAAAATGTTGGTGTTTTCTCTCAATGTTTTTATTTTATTTTTTTTAATATTTTTTAAATCATTTATTTATTTCATACAGGGCCTTGCTATGCAGCTCTGGCTTACAGTAATCCTCCTATTTCAGTCTTTCCAATGCTGGGATTGTGCCTGGTTTCTGTGGCCCACACTGTGCACCCGAAATTACAAGGCAGGCCTGGCATGTGGTTTCAGGGATTGAACTCAGGTCCTTGCGCTTCCCAGGCAGGTGCTTAGACCTCTGAACTATCTCCCCAGCCCTCTCTAAATATTTTTAAAAAGTAGAACATGTGTTTGTAGTATTCAAAAAAGCTGCCGTGAGAGGGCGTCCTGGCTGCGCAGCACTCTAGTATGACGTGGTGCGTCCTGTCTTGGCACACTGTCGGTTCAGTGCTAGGGAAGGGTGTGGAGAGTGTCTGTGGCCTCAGAGCCCTGAAAAGTAGGATTTTCCCACTCAAGTTCTTAAAATTCTGTCATAACAGTTTCTGACAGCTCAAACTTGTATATTTAATTTAGCTCTTTAATTATTCAATAATGCCTTTATTCATCAACAAAGTTTATGACTAGATAATTTTTTTTTTCAGTATTAGGGTTTAAACCCAGGGCACATCTACCACTGAGCTATATCCCAGTTCCCCTTTATTTTTATTTTGAGTCAGAGTCTCACTAAAATGCTGAATTGTCCAGGTTGTGATCCTCCTGCCTCAGTCTCCCAGAGTACTGGGAGTATGTGCTCCCTGTGCCTCACTTGCCTAGCAGGCTCTTTCTTTTCTGTCCTTTCATTCCTTCCTTCCTTCCTTCAGAGACAGGGTCTCACTATGTAGTTCAGGGTCTTATTGTTCGGTTCAGGCTGGCCTTGAACTCACTATGTAGCCCAGACTGGCCTCAAACTCAGTGATCCTCCTGCCTCAGCCTCTTGAGGGTGTTAGACCTACGGGTATGCACCATCGTGTCCAGCTCAGCTAGCTGTATTTAATAACTAGTAAGTTCAGGAAATGTCTATGCCTTAGCCGTGTATAGAAAAGCTTTATATCTTTTTCTAATGAAATTGGTAGGCTAAATTTTTGGAGCATTGAGCCTTATTTGCATAGATGTAGTTTTAAATCAGGGAACAGAAATTACATAGTTTGACAAGCCATCTGATAAATGCAAATAAGACCAACTGTGTATGAGGCTGAGAGAAATTAGCATATGTAAATTAGTTGGAGAAGGCTAAGTGTTTTAAATACAGAATTCTAAAATATGTTGCACCTAAATTTCTGTAGATACTTCTCTGTGATTTAAGCAAAGTTGAGGGAGTATGATCTGGTATGTGGGTGGGGTCCTGAATTATAGCTTTGCCAAAATGGGCTCCTCTGTGGAAAGTGGCTTATGGAAGTCCATAGGCCATGTCATGTCTGTTGATGGATGAGGTCTTTGGAAAGAGTGTCTCCAGTGTTTTCATTTGAATGAGTCCACATCTTTCAAGATACTTATTTTCTTATAGAATGAAGACAAACTCAGAGATGGTGTGTCTAAGAAACTTCAAAAGGTGTAGACCTCCTGACTGAAGCACAGCTGAAATATCTCATTTCTTTTCATTATAGTAAGTATGGCTTATTTTGGTCAATAAATCTCTGTTCTCTGTCAGATGTCTTTATCATCATGTGAGCTATTTGTTTTCATTCTTCTGCAATTTCAGTTGCATATTTTAAATGAATTTAATTTTTAGGAACCCACAGAGGACATATAAAATTATAATCTCAGAGCTAGAAAAGCCCGTTAAAATTACCTGGTGTCTCCTCAAGGGATGGTCATTTTATCCATGTAGACCCAGCTGGGGAGGGAAGCTAAGTTATTTTGAAGAGCTATCATTTATTTCTGTGATGTTGCAGCAACAGACTGGATTAAAATACGACTTTCTAGGCCGGCAAGATAGCTCAGTGGACTAAGCATCTGCTTAGGCAAGAGCAGGGACCAGGGTTTGATCCCTGATACCAGCTTCTGATTATTTTGTTGGCTGTTTCATCTTTAACCTGCAATTGTGCATTATGGCTCCTGGGAGACGCAGGATCCTCACCTCTTATTTGGTGGTCGCTGTCAAGATAGCCAAAGGTATCATATTGTTGTTTTGGCATGAGAACTGTCATACAACTGGCAGAAGTTGTACATGCCAATTAAAATCCATAGATTAGGGGCCAGGGAGATGGCTCAGTAGAATAAGCACTTCCCTGGCAAGCACAGGGCCTGAGTTCAATCACCAGTTCTGCAAAAAAAAAAAAAAAAAAAAAAACATGGATTATTTTTTAATGGTTTTCTCTTCCATTAATATTTCTGCTACTCCACCCCCACTATAACCCTGCATTGTGTTTATGGTATTTTGGTATCTAAGTCCAGAACTGTTTATCTCATATATCATCTTGTTTTGGGTTTTTTTGGTTTTGGTTTTTGGGTTTTCTTTTTTTTTTTTTTCTTTTTTCTTTGAGGAACCAGGAATTAAACTTAGGCCCTTGCACTTGCCAGGCAAGCTCTTATTCAACTGAACTGTCTCCCCAGCCTCTATTTTGGGGTTTTGTCTGTATACTTAAAATATAAAACCAGAGCCTAGAGGAAAGAAGATAACCCGTTCAGTGATGCTTTGCTTTGAGGAAGAATGGGTAGATTCCTCTAAGCCTGAAGGATAGTTTTATAAAGCTCAGCTTGCTCACAAGATACTCCTTGTTAACATTTAGGATCCATCATTCCTGTTGTCATTGTGAGGCAGGGTGTGAAAGAAACTTATTCAGACCCTTTAGGGGTATTAAATGGACAAGGTAGTAGTAAAAAAACAAGTTTTTGTAAAGTCAACTAAAGAATTTTTAGGAACCAGGCTGGAATTTAGATCCAGGAAGTAAGTAAATAATTACCTCAAGGGCTACCTCAAATCTAGAGGTGCTCTCTCGGGACGTGGTCCCATCCAGGGAATTTCACAGTGCAGAGGAAGGGTGGGCTGCACTTTCAAATGAAACCAGAAAATCTGTGAGCCCTTGGTCAACTCTGCCCCATTTTACTCTTGAGCTGAGTCCTCCTTAGGTAACATGTTGTGTGTAAGGATTAAAGTTAATGCGTAATTTGTGTACCTACTTCATTAGTGTATCCTTTTCTTTTCCTCCTGCAGTTTCTGTACTCGTATAAAGAGAAGTCATGATTACACTAACAGAGCTGAAATGCCTAGCAGATGCCCAGTCTTCGTACCACATCTTAAAGCCATGGTGGGACGTCTTCTGGTATTACATCACTCTCATCATGCTGCTGGTGGCTGTGCTGGCCGGAGCGCTCCAGCTTACGCAGAGCAGGGTTCTGTGCTGTCTTCCATGCAAAGTGGAAGTCGACAATCACTGCGCTGTGCCTTGGGACATCCTGAAAGCCAACATGAACTCATCCTCTAATGCTGAGTCACCACTTCCTCTCCCCCTCCGTATCCAGAACGATCTCCATCGGCAGCAGTACTCCTACATTGATGCTGTCTGTTATGAGAAGCAGCTTCATTGGTTTGCAAAGTTTTTCCCCTACCTGGTGCTCTTGCACACTCTTATCTTTGCAGCCTGCAGCAACTTTTGGCTTCACTATCCCAGTACCAGCTCCAGGCTGGAGCACTTTGTGGCCATCCTTCACAAGTGCTTTGATTCTCCGTGGACCACCCGGGCCCTGTCAGAAACAGTGGCCGAGCAGTCAGTGAGGCCCCTGAAACTCTCCAAGTCCAAGACTTTGCTTTCCACCTCAGGGTGTTCAGCTGACGTTGATTCCAGCAAGCAGTCATTGCCCTACCCACAGCCAGGCCTAGAGTCAGCTGGCATAGAAAGCCCAACTTCCAGTGTCCTGGACAAGAAGGAGGGCGAACAGGCCAAAGCTATCTTTGAAAAAGTGAAAAGATTTCGCCTGCACGTGGAACAGAAGGACATTATTTATCGTGTATATCTGAAGCAAATTATAGTCAAAGTCATTTTGTTTATCTTCATTATAACTTATGTTCCATATTTTTTAACCTACATCACTCTTGAAATTGACTGTTCAATTGATGTGCAGGCTTTTACAGGATATAAGCGCTACCAGTGTGTCTATTCCTTGGCAGAAATATTTAAGGTCCTGGCTTCATTTTATGTCATTTTGGTGATACTTTACGGGCTCACTTCCTCCTACAGCTTGTGGTGGATGCTGAGGAGTTCCCTGAAGCAATATTCCTTTGAAGCTCTAAGAGAAAAAAGCAACTACAGCGATATCCCAGATGTCAAGAATGATTTTGCCTTCATCCTCCATCTGGCTGATCAGTACGATCCTCTTTATTCCAAACGCTTCTCCATATTCCTGTCAGAGGTCAGTGAGAACAAACTGAAACAGATCAACCTCAACAATGAGTGGACGGTTGAGAAACTCAAAAGTAAGCTTGTGAAGAACTCCCAGGACAAGGTCGAGCTGCATCTTTTTATGCTCAGTGGTCTTCCCGACAATGTCTTTGAGTTAACAGAAATGGAAGTGCTAAGCCTGGAACTTATCCCCGAGGTTAAGCTGCCCTCTGCAGTCTCCCAGCTGATCAACCTCAAGGAGCTTCACGTGTACCACTCGTCCCTAGTGGTGGACCATCCTGCACTGGCCTTTCTAGAGGAAAATTTAAAAATCCTCCGCCTGAAATTCACTGAAATGGGAAAAATCCCACGGTGGGTATTTCACCTGAAAAATCTCAAGGAACTTTATCTGTCAGGCTGTGTTCTCCCTGATCAGTTGAGTACCATGCAGTTGGAGGCTTTTCAGGACCTAAAAAACCTGAGGACCCTCTACCTGAAGAGCAGCCTGTCCCGGATCCCCCAGGTGGTCACAGACCTCCTCCCTTCGCTGCAGAAATTGTCCCTTGATAACGAGGGCAGCAAACTGGTTGTGCTGAACAACTTGAAAAAGATGGTCAATCTGAAAAGCCTGGAACTGATCAGCTGTGACCTCGAACGCATTCCACACTCCATTTTCAGCTTGAACAACTTGCATGAGTTAGATCTAAAGGAAAATAACCTGAAGACTGTGGAAGAGATCATTAGCTTCCAGCACCTTCAGAATCTTTCCTGCTTAAAGTTATGGCACAATAACATAGCTTATATTCCTGCCCAGATTGGGGCATTATCTAACCTAGAGCAACTCTTTCTGGATCATAATAATATTGAGAATCTGCCCTTGCAGCTTTTTCTATGCACCAGACTACACTATTTGGATCTAAGCTATAACCACCTGACCTTCATTCCAGAAGAAATCCAGTATCTGAGCAATTTGCAATACTTCGCCGTGACCAACAACAATGTAAGTAAATCTGTGCTTGCTCGTCTTTTTTTTTTTTTTTTTTGTATTTTAGGGAATGGTCTACAGGGTATTCAGAGTCTCACTACTAGATCGGACTCGTAGTGATCTGCCTATTTACAGCCTCCCAAGAGCTGGGATTACAGATGTGCGCCACTACGCCCAGTATCAGTGGCCATCTCAGCGCACTCCAGGGGCAGGGCCAGCATAGCAGGCCAGGGATTGGACTCCCCGGCCCCTTTGCCTGCTTGCAAACACTTTATTCCACTGAGCTATTTGGCTGGCCTTGATTTTTTTCCCCCCCTTGCTGGTCTTTTGAGGCTGTGCTATGCTTGAAATGAATATGAGCGCTGGCATAGGTCCAAGCACAGAATAGTTGCTCAACAAATGTTCTTTATATTCCTTTCCCCCGTTCCCTACATGAACGTCACAGTTAAACTATTTTTAATTAATTAATTAGGATAGGGCTTGCTTTTTATGTTGAAAAGTTCTTAAGTGCTTACAAAGCTTGGTAAAACTCCGCAGCGTCTTAAATGTGCCATAAAAGAATAACTTTGTTTAAAAATACTGAGATTATGAATTATTCATAAATCCTGTGATGCAGTTAAAGAAAGGAAGACTTGACATCTGCTTGAATATCTAGAAACACAGCTCAGAATGCAAGGCCTGCCTCTCTGATGCAACACGAGAGCTTCTCAAAAGCCTTTTCCAGTGTCCATGCTTTAAAATGAACCATAATTTGTAACAGTAAAGCCAAGTAAGGAAAATGGAACTTCACTGAAAACAGAAAAAAACAAAATAAATGAGTAGCTTTGTAGGTTAAAATGGGAAGGGGGAGGAAAAAGAAAAACTTGTGCTAAGTTTTCTGCAGGGCAAGAGGGTGAGGATCATGCCCAAGGGGGAATAGCATTCGGATTGGTCAGGACGGGAAACTGATCTTCCTCTACTTGAAAAGCACGCACTGCTATTTTCTTCAACCCAAAAGTGTACTATCTTCTAGACTTTATGTAATTCATATTTCATGCTAAACATAGCTATGAGCATGGTGTTGGCCAGTGAACACAACTGTCAGACATTGCTGAAAACCATGGATGTGAGAGAAATACTGAAAGTTGGAAAATGAAAATTCATGCCGACTTTTTATTTTAGAAATCTGAGGCTTTGCTCATATGTAAAAGAGAGTCTATTCTAAGATATATGAGAAATCTCAAGATTGTGAAGTTAAATGTATACTAAAATCAATCTAGAGTGGTAGAATACATCAGAGTTACCTGAGGAGCTTGTTAAAGCACATTAGCAGATGCCTTCCAGGTTTCTGATTGAGTAGTCTGGTGTAGTTCATGAGAATTTGTATTTCTGAAAAATCTCCAGGCAAAGCTGATGAGGTTGCCCTGGTGACTGGACTTTGCAGTTGCCTTGTTTGTTTTTGGTCTTGTTTGATTTTACTGTATTTTTTTTTGGTTGAATTGTTTTTTCTTTTTTGTTTTTTAGTGGAGGTTGAATTTTTTTGTTTTTGGTGCCGAGGACCGAACCCAGGGCTTCTAGCTTGCCAGGCAAGCATTCTACCGCTGAGCCAAATCCCCAGCCCCGAGGTGACTGGACTTTGAACACCTTAAAACTACAGGTTTATCATTAGTGCTGCTTAGTTATGCAGTGGATTGATATTAATATTTGGTTATACTGTTTCTATTGTTAGATTGGAAGTAAAAAGATATAACTATCATGAGAAGTATTAGTTCTACTATGTTGCTGCAGTGCATGCCTGTTTGAAAGACACAGCTGCTTGAATTGTTACCTGACTGCACATTATTTAGATATGTGAGCAGGCTGATGCTTTTGCTAGGCTAACTTAATGAAACCTTAAGGACACTGGTACTTCTGATACCAAGCTTTTGGTCTTGGCTGAAAGATTGGGGAAAGAGTATAAGATATATCCTTTATTGAATAAATTCTGTCATTCACAGGAGAAGATAGGATATAGCACATGAAGAGTGTTAGGCTGAAGGTACTCTGTGCACAAAGCAGAATAGTGTCTTGGTGGTCTGTCTCAGAAACCTGAGAAGAGGCAGCTGCTAAGCATCCTCCGGGCCAAAATGCAGAACCTGATACCTTTGAATGGGTGAGGAACACTCACCTGAGAACTGAAGAGTCAGAGGGAGCACTGGGAAGACCTTTTCAACCGATGAAGAAACTCCCTGGAGTCCACATAGAAGACAGCCAGGGAGATGAGAAGCTCCTCTCTGGTGGAGCACTCACCTAGTGATGGGGCGGTGAAGGGGAGGGTGTGAGGCTGGTCTACTGCATAGGGCTCAAGTAAGTGGAAGACTTACATGAAGAGCAATGCTTAGTAGGGGTAGCCAGAAGTGTTAGAACTAGAACAGCCAGCAAAAGGTTTCTAATATGTCCATAGTAACCACTAAAAAATGGCAAGAGTATTTAAGGGGGAAGAAGGGATTACCTTACTACCAAAAGTCACCCGACACAGGTTACCAGCCCCTTGGTGGAAGTGTTGTTAAAGGGAGTCAGGGGTTTGTGTTCCATATGGAAATTTAATTATTTGCAAGGTAGCATTAGATTCTTATGATTCTGTGAGAAAGACAAAAACATTACATTGGATTCATAAATATTTAGATGTGACATTTCATTGAAAGGATGTTAGCCATCTCACAGAACTAGAACAACAAGAAAGCTACAAAATCAAGCTTGGACAAGTCACACACACAAAATCACACAGCAGTTAGGCCCACAGCCAGGGTGAAATCCAAAAGCAAAAGAGTGGGGGTACCCTCACTAACACACCAGCACTGGTGCCAATTCTGTCTCTGAAAACTACTGCAGGCCTCCCCCTCCATGCTCTGCCCCACCCAAAAAAACTGGTTCCTCACAGTTTCCACTGGTGACCACCTCAGTTCCAAGCGGCAGTGTGAACACCTGGGCAGCACAAAGTTTGTGTGCCCACCCTTCAGCTGTAAGGATGTGGGGGCATAGGAACCTGGTGGTGTTCCTTTCTGTAGTGGGAAGTGAGCTCTGTGTCCCTCCAGGCCATGAGGGAGTCCCCAGTGACAGGCGTTCACTAACAGGTCATTCCAGAGTCTCCTGCACAGGGTCGTAACAGGTACTGTCACCAAAAAGTATTTTTTTTCTAATCTTACCCCTGCAAGAATGCTCAGCGCTTATAGTATGTCACTATGTATTGTCCTTCTTCAAAAGTAAAGTACAGTGTGCCACACTTGCCAACATGTTTGAGCAAGAAGGCTTTTTTCATAAAAACTTGTGGGAGGAATGTTTTGCAGGTGAAACACACCCTGTGAACACTGTATCAGGGAATATGAAAAAACAGAGTGCACACAGGGCAGTGCAGTAGGATGTGTTACGAGAGACCAGGATGTTTAGCCAGGAGGCTGAGAATGGGGAGTGGCTGGAAGCCTGCCGTCCAGCTTATGTTTGATTCATGGGACAGTGAGCAGGGCAAGACTTGAAAGTGCCAAGCAGTCTGCACCAGCCTTCACAGGAAGCTCAGAACATGCGCTAAGGGGTTGGGAGAGGGCAATGCAGAAGCGGAACCCCGTGGGAAGGCTTAATCAGTTATAACTGCAAAGAGGAGGCACGGATTTTAAAACGAGACAGAGATGCAGAGATGTGTATCTCAAATGAACATTGTGTATCGTGTGGTCCAAAGGTTCAGCTTAATGGCTTGGGCTCAAATCCACTCACAGCCCTTTTTTTTTTTTTTTTTTTCCGGAACCGGGGATTGAACTCAGGCCCTTGTGCTTGCCAGGGAAGCACTTATGCTACTGAGCCATCTCCCCAGCCCCACACAGCCTATTTTTATGTGATCCAAGAAAGACTGATCTCTACATTTTTAAATGATTGAGAGAAAACTCAAAAGGATAACATTTCATTTCACCTGAAAATTATATGAAATTCAGTTTTCAGTGTTCATGAGTAAATTCCCTTCTCATCAGTAGGACAGCATTACAAAGAAGGTTATAGTCAAAGGTTGTTATATTTTTAATTTCATCACTTAAAAATGTATGGCGTTGTTTATCTCTTGTCTGTAAGTACCTAATGTTTTCAGATGTAGGGATGGCATGGAAGCTGGGAGAGAAGAGGAAGCATCCATCCTCTCCCAGAGCTAAACTGTCTTTGGATTATGTTCCTTATATTGGCATCTTTTGAGGAAGAAGCACAAGGTGGGGGAAAGGAGTTAAGTAAACTTTCTCAAAGGTTATATACCACTCTGCTTTACATCCCAGTCTTTCAACTTCCACATTTGTATATTTATTCCTTTTTTGAACTCAAAGCCTTCTAGCCATGAAGTAAATAAGGTAGAAATGCCCTCTGAAGTTCATCTATGTAATAGTGCTTTGTACTATTGTTTTGACATCAGTACTTAAATAGTCTTGTCTCTTGAAATGATTGACTCCATGGGTTTCATTACTGTGCCCTGAAATAATATGTATTTTAGGAAAGAAATCTAACACTGAGAAAGATTCTGAGGTGAGGTCCCACTGAGTCTTTGGAACGCTGCAGGGAAGGGTATTCGGGTATCAGGGTCAGCCGTAGATGGAGAAAGGGACCATGTCGTCGTGTCTCCAATCCATTTTGAAGCTACTTGGTTACCAGAGATACAGAGTGGTAATATGGCCATTAGCTCTTCTATGCTTTTGTTTTTTAATTTATTATACTTTATATATGTACATATATACAAATCTATATTAAATATTGTAGTTTATAAAACATCTATTTATGAAGTTTATCATCTCTAATAGCTTGTAAGTTTTCCCTTCGTTTTTGAGGAAAACCAGTGGTCAACTTAAAGTAATAGTTCCTCTCTGGCTCATGTATCATACAGTCTAAAAGGGCACACTAAATGAATTAGATATAAATTAATGGTATGATGCATTTTTTTCAAAATTTTATTGATAAACAGCAATGAGACAGTTTCAAATCAAATCAACAGTACAGATTCAACAAATAACACACTGCATATATTCTTCTTA